TAACAAAATTGACCACATATACACACATCTGAGTGCACACATTTATGCTCTTGCATATCAATGAGGAAAACCAGCGTCTTTCAGTCACCTCCTCTCCTGTCTGGTGGCAGTTTTATGTCCTTTTATTCTTCTGTCCTGTCTGTCCCTGCACAAGGCCCTTTGAAAACAATCTACTTTTCAGGAATTGATGATGGCTGCATGTTTGACATTTTGCACAACTTTAGAATTGACTCATTTGCATGTTCAAACTAATATAGTGCTGTTGTTTAGAATAAAGTAGGCACAATATACATACTATATATTATATGCAAATAGATATTTATTTGTCTCATTACTTCAGTGACTTGCCTATCTAAGTTGTCTTCTTTTTAAAACGTTTTGCCAATTTATATTTTTTTTTACAAAATACACCTGAACTTATTGAGAGATATATAGAGATATATAATGTTTAATTTGAGCAAAATAACACAAAGTTAAAGCAACCAGGGTTCTTTACAATTAGTGACATAATCTTGAGTCCATTGGCTCCCTGCTTTTTGTCTGTTTCTGAGAAAACAAGGCGCTCCATGTCATTCTCACTATAGATTCATTTCTGGATTACTTAGTCAATAAAATATATATATATATATATAAATATATACAGCACGCCATCTTTCTCGAACCCAAGGTGACATTGTCAAATCATATCAAACACAATAAAGTAGCCGGTCCATTTTTGCTAAGTACGCAACTTAAGCCGTTAATAATTCAAGTTGCTTGTGGTGGTGTGGTAACTGCTAAGTTTTGTAATCAAGATATTTTGATAAATTTGTTATTATCCCACTCCTAGTGTGTAGTATATGAGCGATAAAATGAGGCATGGCAGAGAGAACGACCCAATTACTATGTTAAGGAGGGAAAAAGAAACCAAATAAGAGAGTATTACATTGAGAGGAAGAGGAGGGGCTGCAGAGAGAGAGAGAGAGTGTGTCTATTTCTTAATTCAGTCTTCTACATGTTCCTAATGAAACCCATCTAATGTTATTCATGAGTTTTCCTACTGTGCCTGCAGTCCAACCATGGACCTGCCATCCACAAGACGATCACTCCACACAACATCTGACAGGGAGGGAGAAGAAGGGCGGAAGAAAGTGAGAGGGAAAGAAAGGGAGGAAGAGAGGGTGGGAGATGATGGAGGAAAAGAGGGAACATAAGAATAGAACATGGCTGAAGATGAGGCAGATGTGCTTCATGGGAGAAATCGTAATAATCTCTGTATGAAAATGATTGTTCTTATTCTTAAGTATGGCTCCATTGAATGCTAATGAACTGCCAAAAACTATATAAGCATGTTTATGTATTTCTTGCCGTCTTTTCCGGTTTATTTTGATCCGTCTTGTTCTGTTGTTATCCACATCTATATTTGGACTACGTTGAATCAGTGTGCGTATCGTACTGTGTGTGCTGTATGTAGCAGCGTATGTTCTTGTTGGTTATCGCCTGGAGGCCAGAGCAGAGTCGTCTGTGTATTTGAATCGAGGAGTAATGTGTGTGAATTGTACAGAATGTATGTTGATGTTTGTCGTTTGGGATTCAGGAAGAAACGGTCATTCGGAAGAACATTTGGCTGAACTGTTGAACTACAAGATGGTACTATAAAAATATGTGTTTTTATTGTCGTTATGGTCTAGGGATGCACCGTATTGGATTTTTGCCAATAAACCTGTGATGTTTTCTAGTAAGCTCACTCGAACTCACCCGACCCGCGGAGTTGTTTGTCGGTCTGCCCAGCGCTACTGCGTGAACTTTCTCTGTCATATCGCAGGAAATGACGTGCCGATATCGTCTTGCATACTTATGATGAAGCTAAAATTCAAGATTTCAGATGGTCATGAAATCACGTTGCCAATTGGAAAGAATCTGAGAGTCAACAGTAAACATTAGTTTGTCATATTTCTACTGTCCCACTCTCCCACTTGAAATGAGAAAAAAATATCTGTTTTTACGAGTGTCGTACAACCCGAGGGGAAATATTAAATTATGTTTAGCCATGATACAACCTTTGCAGTCCTGCTGATATACCTGAATCATGTGACCGATATCTATACTGTGTGTGTGTGTGTGTGTGTGTGTGTGTGTGTGTCTGTCTGTGTCTGTCTTCGTGGATACCTTGAAAATGCTGAGAGCTTATCAGCCTGGAGGCGGTCACCATAACAACAGTTGCTGAGGTGCAGCTGTGCATTAATGTTTCTTAGTAACGACATAATATGTAGTTACTAATACAATAATGTATATTATACAGTATTGGACTGATGTTCTGTCTGTTTGTCTCTCTCTCTGTTCTCTTCTCTCCTCTCAGTGACTCAGTTGTTGCATCTGTATTTCATTACTATCAGAGCTGACAGTGGTGTTACAGTGGTTTTACATATCTTGTACATTTTCTGGTAACTCAATTTGAGAAACTGCACAAATATAATAACCATATGGGAAAGCCTGTTTTTTGGCCGATCTAGTGAATTGGATACCTGTCAAATCAAGTTACTTCATCACATTGACGCAGCAGGCGTGTACACTCAGTGTTGCCATAAAACTGTCCTGCTCATTGATTTCAACGTTCAGCATTGCTTACAACGGCCTGTAGTTGATTCCCCAGTATACAAACAGTATGGCAGAATCAAATGTCTATCGTCTTGTGCCGTATATCATCAAGTGCCCATTTTGGATTGACATGGATGTAAACTGCCCCTTGATGTTAAATCTTGTTTAAAGTTGTGTCGTTTCCAGGTATAACCAATATAACAGCATTGAGCCCCACCTATATGTTTATGAATGTTAAAGTCAAGCATCATTACAGTAGGGGAGAATTTTATCTCCTTGATACATCCAAAGATATAAACACATTTTGACAGGTTTAGTTATGGAAATCTACTGTATCGGATATCAAAACGACCGATACGTGAAGGCAGCACAGCTCTTTCAGCATGTGATTGCCTTCTGAAGGGCAACCTTTCCCCACAAAGTTCAGCTGCAGGGAACACGTTCAGAACTAAGAAGGGTGGCATGGTCAGCGTCAGCCGTGCTGTCTGGGCTCCTGGAATATGGATGGACTTCCTGTGGCTGGCAGCTTGTGATGTGACCAAACTCTTAGTGTCTGAGTTATGTACTCAGTTCATCTGTTGAAGCTGCACAGAACCTGGCTGTGTTTAGGTCTGGCCTGCCCCTATCTGTTGTTATTGCATTGTGTCCCATACTGCAGGCATGTGCTTCTTAAACCGTGGGTGGCTTCCTTGTTTCTGGTGGGTCTCAACGTGACAAGAATAGCAGTGTTTTCTTGAACCTCTGCACCCACAGCAGCACAACAAGAGCCTGGTAAGAAGAGGTAAAGGAGGAGACGGATGGAGAGGAAAGCTGTAAATCACAGAAACTAAGAGGGCGAGGACGAGAGAACAAAATAAAGGAGTGTGTTTTGGAAATTTGTTGAAGCCTGTGGGGGGGCCTCAAGCCAAATGCAACAGTCCAATCTGGTGGCGCACTGATAAATGGTCAGAGGAAACACTTAACTTTTGACACTAATATTAACAGGCAACAGCCTTCTGTCAGACCCACGCTGTGTGAGTGAGTGTGTGTTCATATTACACATCTGACATTGCCTTTAAGGTCCTCATAATGTCATCTACAGCATTCATAAGTATGTCCAATCTAATCAAATGTCCCATATTCAGTATGATAAGCCCTGGGCTAATGTATTATCATCCATCAAAGCATGTTCTCCATTACCTCATTTTGTGTGTGTAAGCTCATAATTCCATCCATTGTCAGATCTAATTAGCAGTATTTTATCATTTTCTCTCCCTCTCTCTCATCATACGATAAACCACACAGAGCGACTTCTTACCGTATATGAGCTCATGCCAAATGAGCTTCAGGCGCCTCTGCTCAGCCTGACTCCTCTGCACTTTTGCTCCAATGTTGGAATGACACGAGTAATGCAGAGAAATCCTTCACACTCACAAAATTGAATGCGAGATGCCAAGCATGTTGGAGTTGCCAGTTGTCAGTACTTGTCTGTGTGAATTGCAGAGACTTTCATTACGACCATGTTTAATAAGATGAAATCGTAGTTGTGAGACCGAGCATCTGGCAGATGTACTGTACCTGAACCTAAGCCCAAAAAGACGATGTAAAATGAGATTGTCAAGCTGTGCAGACACACACGGTCCAAAAATCAGTTGTTACAGAGGTGAGATTAGAGGTTATAGTCTTGGAAAAACCTGCTCTGTGGGGCGTCCTCGTCATCTAGTGGTCGCAGACGTAGACCATGCAATCGCAAAGTTCCTGGTTTGTTTTCAGCAAGGGCTTTTATTGTCTGCATGTTTTTCAAGCCTGTCTCATTTCTGTCATATTGTTGGTGTTCTTACAAATGTCAAAGGGATTTTGAATCTCTGTGTGTGTGTGTGTGTGTGTTTTCTCAGTGTTGCTCTCACTACTGACTGTAATTGGCTGTGTGAAGCAGACAGTCACTGCTGTGCAATGGCTTGTTATCAGACTGACAGGCAAACTGGAAAGGACAGCGGTGTCACACACTGAGAAACACAGCAGACCTCGGAGGCAGGAAACACACACACACACAGGCGCTCAGACACATGCAAGTGCTGTGATACTAACAGGCTGCGACAGTGAGGAGAGTTGCTCTTAGACGAGATGGGTGGGTAGATTAAACTAGATAATGGATGCACACGGTCAACTTGATACAGCAAATAGAAAAGGATAAGACATCGTTGTTGGGAAAAGGTCAAGACAATGACAGGAACATAAAAGATGGTTGAACAGATATGTGCATATGTTTGGTAGTGTAGCAGTGGAACAGTTTCTATCCAAACACATGATGCAACATCAGTGATTTTTGAAATCTAAAGTGCTGGTCCCATTCCAGCTCACTGAGTCGTTCACTTGTTGAGAAAAGCTAACAGGCCTAACAGGCAGCAGAATTAACTAATGTTTTTCTTTCTCCTTCTGTCTAGACGTGAGACCTTGTTGCGGTGTTCCCAGTGCAAGATGGCTCGCTACTGCAATACCACTTGCCAGGTATAGTGTGTGTGTGTGTGTGTGTGTGTGTGTGTGTGTGTGTGTGTGTGTGTGTGTGTGTGTGTGTGTGTGTGTGTGTGTGTGTGTGTGTGTGTGTGCGCATATGAAAGTAAGTGTGTGTGTGTGTTTTTGGATCAATTTGTTGAATTTCCCTTCTCCCGTAGAAACAAGCATGGTCTGGCCATAAGAGAGAGTGTAAATGTCTGCAAAGCCTCCTACCCAGAATTCCCACTGACTCAGTCCGTCTGGCGGCTAGACTCATCTTTGCCTTGGTATGTTTCTCACTGTGTTAGTCACAACTTTACTTTATAGTTGTGGAGGAATGTACTTTACTTCTTTGATATGAAAACTCTGTAACTTCAGATATTTCGATTTATTCATGTGTTTACTTCCACATTAAAGGCACCAAAGTTGGTTTTAGGAAAATTCCATTTGCTCTTGCTCCCCTTGAAAGTCAATGCATAGATAAAAAAGATCTGTGCAACAAAACAAAGCTGCTTTTCTCAGCTTATAAAGGAATTCATGCAACAGGAACAATATGCTTCAGTGAGTGCCACACATAGTGTGTAACAATTGCAGAAACTATAACAACATGCTCATACCGACTCTTCTTTTTCTTTCTAGCTAAGTCCATCTAAGAGCAGTAGTGAGGAGCTCTACACTTTGGAGGAGCATGAGTCACGTAAGTATATGTCTGTGTTTTGCCCAAGGCTAATGCCAGTGGCGTTAAAATAAATAAATGTTGCTCTCTCCACTGTATTGAAGCACAAATGTCGAATCGGATAAAATTCCGAAGTGAAGACATTTTGGACAGACATGGTTGTAAACTGCAACATGACTGGTTGATGGAGGTATTCGACTCTTATTCTTGTTTTTTATAAACATTATTTTACAGACCTGAGTTCCATGTCTGAGCACAAGAAACAAGGTGTGGCTCAGCTGACATCCATGTTAGAGCTGTATCTACAACAGGAAGTACCTGACCTGGCACAGGAAGTGACGTCAGCACTGCCACCTTCCTGCCGAGAACCCTTCAGCCTTATTGCAAAGGTGGGCTAAATGCTTTTAAACACCATACATGATATACAGTATACTCACGTTTGCATTTGTGTATATGGTACGTAGACACACATTCACCTTGGCACTTTCACGCACACACAAGTTCAAACATGCCTGCTCGACCAGTGCACAAAAAGACAAATACAAGCAACTGTTTGATGCTGCTAGCATCCCCTGCTGCGTTTGGATGGACCCCAACATATGTCTAAGATCTTCCCAGCATCTGTGACTATGTCATTGTGTGTGTGTGGGTGTGTGTGCGTGTGTGTATTCCCAGAACAACCTCAGGTCTAATTCCCTTAAAACACACCAGCTGCCGTCACTAGAATTTAAACCGCAAATCATTATGTATGCAAGGATGTCTGGATTTTAACCTACCTCTGTTATCTGTTAGCTGGTGTGACTCCTCTTTGAGATTTTTAGCTCCAAGGTGTTTGAATTCCAACGTGTGTGTGTGTGTGTGTGTTAATTTTGTTCGTCACATCACAATCATTGTATGTGTGAGTTTTAATTGAAAGCAGCTACGTTACATGGATGTTCTACACTCAGAGCAACATCTGCTTGTTTCATAATGATTTTCCAACATCCAAAATGTAATTTAATTTTGACTGTAGTTTTGGCATTTCAGAAGATAGTTCTACAGAGCAAAATGTACAACATGATGTGACGTGTTTTGTAGCCTCACTGATGACAAGGTTTTAGAGCTAGCAATGGTTATCAGTTGGTCGTTCCAAAACTTTGATTCATGCTCAAAATATTTCGATTAATACTGGATGTATTGCCATGAATTTTGGTACAGACATTCATGTTCCTGAAGTCGTTTAAGTGTGTTAGAATGACAGCCACTGCAATTTCAAACACTTCCATTTTTACATTCACTTCTCCATGACTGCTGAGGATAAACCACAAACTTTGGCACTTACAATCTGCTTTACAGCCTCACAGAGCTGCTGGTGTTTCTGCTGACTCTTTTATGTGAATCTCTGCAGTTCTGGAGAATTTAATTTCTCAAACATAAACATATTTATGTGTGTGTGTTTATGCATAATTTATTAAGAATTATGCAGGTGGTGGAGTGAGAAGGTAAGTGAGAGAGAGTAATATCTTAGCTGAGATATGAATGTGTGTGTTTGTGTGCGAGGGATTGGATTGTGAAGCTGGGAAACCTGGAAAGCTGCTGATTAAATGCGGTTCAAGATACCGATGGGAATTCTGCTCCAATCTGAGGGAGATGAAGAGCAAACAACACTGTGTGGATCGTAGAGAAGTAGAGGAGGACAAAGATTATGAGAGAAAAAGGAGTGGGGAACAGAGAGAGATGAGAGAGGGAGAAGAGAGGAGGAAGTCACACAGATAGCGAGACTTAAATGTACAAAGTGTATCAGAACATGACATGTAAACAGAAATTGGAGGGCTGGGTAAGCAACTTTATGAAAGTAGCTCTGAAAATGAATATGTCAGTTGACAGTAGATACCTATCAAAAACAACTTTAATAATTCAGCAGTTGGTGTGACAGAATGTCTGCAGTGTTTATACTGAATATACGACTGTTAGACTTGTGTTTGAACACGTTTGTGTATAAAATACTTGACGATGTAGTGACTCGGAAATTATGTTTAAGCTGATGACACACTATATACTTCAGCAGCTATGAAAATGAAACACGGAGACCACAAGAAGTGTGACTGGTTCCCTGTTTCATTACCTCTCAATTATAACCTCTCATTACTGCTCTATACAAAAAACTATATATATATTCTTCAAAGGTTATATTATGATCTACATTGATTTATTTATTCATTGATTTATTCAGCGGCAGTTGTTGTGTTTTGCCTCCTTTGCGGAGAGTCTTGGTGTATTTTACTTTCAATAGTAGTTCATAAATGGGCTATTCTAACAGAAAATGAACCCTCAACAATAACCATGTGACACATTCAGAAGGAATAAATTGCAGTTATCATCCATTTGGTGATTTGGATGAGAAAAGACTTTAAAACCTGGTTTGGTGGAGAAGTCAGTTTCTCAGATGTCTAGATTACATATAACCCTTGTTTCAACAACATACAAGTATATTTCATTTTTGAAAGATATTCCTTTAATAACTCTGATTCTGGGTCAGAGCTATTAAATCACTATATTAATATGTGAAATATTATCTGTAATATACACTACACCACATTTTGCATTTATAAATCTTCAGCTGCAGTATAGGTGAGCTATAAATTATCTCCCATAATGGAAGAATCTATAATGTGACTGCAGGAACACCTTGACAAAGAAGTAAACCCGGCTTTATATTTCACCCACATAACACAGCCTTGTATTGCACTGAAGCCCTGTTTTTTGTCTCATGCATTGATGTTTACATTTCTCAGCTTGTTTGTGAAGGGAGTGGCTATCATCTGAGGCATTAAAACATTGCACCATGCACATGTATCATATCACGCATGTTGTGATGTGAGCATGTAGATGTATTGATCTGTCTAACTCCTATATTCAGAAATAGCAACCAGCTTCCTAATACCTGTACATTATGAACGGTGTATCAAACAGGACAAAGAGATGACACAGAAAGCAATATTTACATGTATCTGATGGTGTGCTGTTCTCACTCACTCACTCACTCACTCACACACGCACACACACACACACACACACACACACACAACATATAGCGCAACAAAAATGGAGAGAGCTTTAACCTGTGTGTCATTTGGTTTTGCCAATATCCAGAATGGTGTTTTCTAGACAGCCAATAGGGGTCACTGTGATTTCATGGACAGCATCCTGTATTGGCTGTTAAGGAGTAGAGAAGTCCTTCATTATGCGTCCTCTGTCTTTATCCTCTCGACTGTTTTCTGTTTCTCTCTTATCTGCTCTAACTGTCCATGAGCCTCTCTCTCCTTTGTCCTTACGTGTCCTTAAATCTCGTTCCATGTTTCTCTCCTCATTATTTTTCTCTACACATGCAGCTCTTTTTCTTCTTCCCTCTTTCTTTCTCCTCTCTCTCCTCCTCCCTCCCTTATGTGCTCCTTTAAATGTCTCTAGTACATAACAAATTAGGAGTTTACTGTTGTGTACTTGGAATGTTCAGTGTGCTTAACAAAATAGGTAATTTTACTATAAATGTGTGTGTTCGTGTACGTGATGCGCACGTGCTGGGAGTCTCTCACAGTGGGGGAGTTTTTGGTGCTATATAAAGCCATCCTTTATGCTATAATCTATTCCCTTCACAGAACACTAATAGTGTTACACAAACACATACATGTATGCACACAGACACACACAATGAAGTAATGGCACAGCATCATTACTGCTGTTATTATACCCAAGGGAAGCAACAAAGGAGGGAGTGTGTATGTTTGTGTGTATTATGAGCTGTATATCATGCAGTGTGTGTGTGTGTGTCTGTGTGTGCATGTGGCACTGTGCAGCTATGTGATGCAGATAGACTGCGGAGGGGCGGGTGTGTGCCTGCACCAGGTTTTGGTCAGATGAGATCTGGCTGCAGCACATTTTATTGCTTCCCTCAAGCAACTTCCCCTCTCTGGAGTGACTGTGTGTGTGGGTGTGTACATGTGTTTAAAGATGCAATGCATAAGAACTGGTCAGCATTTTTGTTGAAAAAGTTAAAGTGAACTAACATTATTAACCAAATGTGAAGAGGTTACAGTGTTGACGGTATGTCATAGTCGCCGATGTATTGCGTTGCAGAGCTATCTACTGCAATGAGCGCGCTAACCAGCTTGTAATACCACTTGCTCCTCAACAGGCGATAGTGAGTCACTGTAGCGTCCAGTCTGCCCTCAGTCCAACATGAGAGGACGAAGAAGTAGAGCTACCTCGTGGTCTTGTCAATAACATATCCATGATCTGTGTGTGGTTTGATAGTTTTTTTTATTTTTTATTAAAGCTAAAGTGGCGGACCTTAAAGCCCCTGGTTAGTGGCACAGTAAACACAAAGATGGCAATCGTTAACTATAGGCCGACGACATGCATGAAAATGATAAGATAGCAGTGTTATTTTGACCTGCTCTGAGTTTCAGCAGTTTGGTAGAATTTTGCGTATTTTTGCCTTGCTGTTAGTTAGTAGTTGGCCTTATTTTTAACAAACGATGACTATAAATTTAGATTGTATGGAGGAGAAACGCTTCCCACTATTTATTTGGAGCATGTGGCCTGATTTTACACAGTGCACCTTTAAGCTACCATGCGTATGTCCAATTACATACTTGTAATTCACTTGTTTGTTTACAGTAACAGTAGCTGTATGTGTATTCCTACATGCATACCTTTATGTTTATGGATCCTTCCTATCATAAACTCTGTGTGTGTGTGTGTGTGTGTCTGCACTTACCAGCCTGTGAAAACTTATTTTCATGCTGCATCAGCCCTTGCTGCATTGAGACCCATTTTTCACACATAGCCCTTACATGTCATGTTACCCAATTAAACACACACACACACACACACACACACACACACACACCTCTATCTGCTCTAAACCTGCTCCTCTGTGTCTTGTTCTCGCTCTCTCAGCTTCATTCATTCTCCTGCCTGACTATCACTTCTCTACTTCACTTACATTCCCTCTTCTCATTCACTCTCAGTTCAAGTCTGTTAAACTGCAGCTTTTGATACGAGAGTTATTTATAGCTTTTGAGCGACACCTCACAGACAGTTTTATGACAGGCCAATGCCAGCATTTGAATTTTATGAATCTTAAATTCTAGGACCACTAAAACACATAACAATATGACAAGATGGTGATATACTGTTTCATAAAATTCAAACTGCAGAAAGCGCCTGCATACTTGTATGCTATGAAAAGTAGTTTGTAGATAAACAGTCTAAGCTTGTAACAGAGTGTGATTTTCTGAAGAAAAAAAAAACATGATCAGCAGCATCAATAACCTGAAAAGCAGGGCTGCAACATGAGCTAGATAGCATGCCTCATCTCCACTACAGTACATGCACAACAAGATGTTCA